TCAGGAACCAAGTCTATGGGGCAGTCGTATGGCCTGTGTGGGGGAATTGATCTGCTACTTTCCTGCTAAAGACATCTGCGAAGTCTGCCAGTTCAGCTGGCAGGGGACTTGGGGACTCAGAACCTGGCCTGCGTAGACTTGGCAGGTGTGGACCACACATTGTAAACTCAGGAGGGTGACCAAGTTCTGGAACCAGTAAATCTGAGGATCATGCATCCCAAACCATGCCAAGCCCAAGACCACTGGCAAATACAGAGGTGATATAAAATTGAATGGCCTCCTCATGAGAGCTAATGCCATACTCAATGGTTGCGTGGCTGCCTTAATTGGCCCAGACAGAAGCAACTGGCCATGAATGGTCTTCACTAGCAGAGGTGGCTCCACTGGGCATTGAGGAACAGCCCATTTGGCCACACACACAGCATTTATAAAGTTAGTGGATGCCCCAGAATCGACCAAGGCATGTATAGGGATCCCCTATGGCTCACCAGGTAGGATCAAATGTGCTACCAGGATCAAGTGCTATGGGGGTCCAAGAGAAGCATCCAATGGACTTTGCTCTGTTTTGATGGAGGCCTGACCCGGAATGCCCCTTAGGTTGGGCTTGGGGCATTTCCTGACAGATTATTCCGCTTTAATGGGGCAAACCCAGAAGCCGACGGCCGTTGTCACTTCCCCATAGTATAAACTATAGTTTATACTTCTCCATAGTATAAACACAACCTGCCTCAAACACCGTCTATTCTTCTCCACCACTGGGGCCTGGTGGCATCTAATTCCATAGGTTCTTCCCACAGAGCCAGGTTCTTGTGCACAACTGGGGCCACCTGGTCCAGTGACTCCTTCACAACTGCAGCCGAGCATCAATCCTTAAACCAGAGATGGACCAACACATTGAAGTTCAGGGGAACATCGACATGGACCAGCTCATCCAACAGATCTTCTGAAAGCATCCATGAGGGCAGCTTCATTCCAAGCTGAATTTTGGCTAAGCAGCCAAAACTCACTAATGTATTCCAATAAAGGGTGTTGGCCCTGCTTCAGGGCTTTCAGGCATCGAGTAGCAGTCTGTGTCTTGATGAGCCAAAGGTGGTCACAAAACTCCCAGAAGTCATCCAACAATGGATTAGGCTGGACAAACAGGGATGTCTTTATCCTGGTCAGTGGGGAAGTCCTCTGCTCTCGGGCTGATGAAGAGCTGGCATTGTCCCAAAAATGCTGGAAACATGACTTGATTGCCATCAAATTTATCTGATGTTACCACTGGGCATTTCCAACAGGGTTATGGAGCAGGTGAGCTTGAAGCTGAGCAACTTGCACTGACAGCAATGCCACCTGTTGGGAGAGCTGGGCATTCTCTGCACGTAGCTGCTCCATGTTAGTAGGAAAAAGGTAGCAGACAAACTGTTCTGACCCAGCCCTTGTGAGTAATGATTAATAGTTTACTCATAAGTAGAAACCCCTTTTATTTACAAGGCAGGAACCAGCTAGGTTCATGGGAGAACTCCTGTTAACAAGTCTTTCAAGGCTTAATCAAGCCGTAGCAGTCTCAGCTCACACTGGCTGAAACATTTTCAATGTCTATGAATGTCCCGCTAATGTTAATTAGCACTTCAAACATAAACAAATAGCCCCGGCAAACCTGGGTCTTGGCAAGGAATCGTGACAAAGAAATCCAACTGATTGAAATCTCCAGTAACATGAAGAATTGACTGCCACAGCCAACCATTCCCAACCCACTCCTATTTATGTTCCAGCCAGGGAGGGGCTGGCTAATGTCTCCTTATTTTTCCTAAGAGCTGGCCCATAAACCTCCATTGCTCTGGTCTCCTCTCCTCTTGGCGCATACGTGCGTCTGGGACGGGCCCCATCTGCTTCTCTTCCCCACTCAGCTCAGGCTCCAACTCTGCATCTGGTTCTGAGTCTTCTTGCTCATTGGAGCCTTCCAAAAGTTCCGATGATGACCCAGGCACCCCCTCCTCATCCTCATCCGACTCGGGTGCCAGTTTTGCTGGCAGACAATGAACTACAACAGCAGTGCAGATATTGTTCCAGGATTCCAATCGCTTTCTCAGTTCCGCCATCTGTTTCAGGATGATGTGCTGATGACAGACATATTTGCACATCTAAGGCCTTCAGTAGCACTTTCCAGAACCTGGCTGTAAATTGAGCCCTCCTATCCAAAATGACCCTATCTAGTAGGCCATGCAGCTGGAAGATATGCTGAATGAACATGTGAGTTGTGGCACGGACTGTCGGCAATCCTCGACAAGGGATAAAATGTGCCATCTTTGTCAGCATGTCTATTACAATAAACACTGTCATGAACCCAGAAGATGGGGGCAAGTCCATCAAGAAGTCCATGGACACTGCTCCCCAGGGTCTATTGGGCATCGGCAAAAGCTAGAGCAGACACGGTGGGGCTTCCATCACCGACTTGGCCTGTCGGCACTGTACACAAGATGTGATGTAGGCCTGGATGTCGTGTTTCAATAGGGGCCACCAGAAAGTACAGGAGACTAGATTCAGAGTCTTGGAAGAGGCCAAAATGCCCCATCGCAGGATTGTTGTGGCATTGCGAGAGGATGAGTCCCCAGAGACCCCACAAAATCAATCAGCAGTATAGAGTCTTCCAAAAATTTAAATCCTTAACTTTCAAAGGTAGTCTCCACAGTGATTTCCAGCTTCTTTAGTTTGGCTTGGAAAAACCAACTCCTCCCCTCCCCTCACCATCTTAAAGTCATGGAGCTTCAGAAATGATGATAGTTCCACAAAAAGCAAATGACAAACTGCAACTAGAGGAAGCCTCTCTTGGCAAGAAAGATAATTATGTAGAAAAATTAGTGACTAAGAACCTGTGGCATCCTTTATTTTCCATTTAAATGGCTGGTTCTTCCACAGTGAACTTGCATGGTTGCCCTGCCCCAGCCGGGGACTCACCCAATTACTTCTTCTTCAAGAAGCAATCTGAGAGTGTCTGGCTACTCAGGGGAATAAGAGGGTTGATTTCCAAAGCTTCCCCTTTCCCAGGGAAGTTTCTTCTGGCTTAGAAACTGTTTTAAATCTAAAACTGTAGAGAATCTTTAGGAGATCTAAAGAAGTTTCCTACCGGCCAGGAGCCTCTTCCGGCGGAAGTGCAGCCTTGCAAAATTCTGTTATTATAGTTTTACAATAAAAGTAGTATTGTCCTATATGGTTTTGGTTTCCTAGTATGATCTACCTGGAAGGCTGACAATGCTGAGGACAAAATGAGAACATTTCCTAGGTTATTGCAGTGATATATTTACTACCTATGTCTGTCAACCAACTGGAGAACAAATATCCTGGACAATTTGGGGAGCTTTCCAATTACACTTCGTGTCTAATTTTTTTTTTAAATTCTAATTTAAAATGCTTTTAATGTGCTATCGGCTACAGAAATAGTAGCCGATTTTCTGTATTACATGTGTTTTGGTTTTAATATGATCTTTCATTTGTTTTTCTGTGGTCATAGTATACACATGCGTTATTATATTATCCAAGAATTGACTTTACAAATGGAGGGTGGATAGGTGTGTGTATGTATTTATGTGTGTATCTTGTATTTTAAGATGGTATTTGGTTATAGTTAAAGGGTCTGTTCTGTGAATTTGGTTTGGAAATGGTGCTGTTGGTAAGAGAAGGTGGTTTAGATACAAACGTGTGCTTGGAGTGGACCTGGATTTGGTCTCTTGGAACTAAATGGTAGGCTGTACAATATTGGCTTGGATGGAGCCAGATTTATATACCAGGAATTTGGTTGGCTGTAGAAAGTGAAGCTTAGGAGAGAACTGGAAGAATTTAGTTGTTTTTGGCATAGCAACAGTGAAAACATCTGATTACTAAATTATCTCATTTGGTAGGTGAGCAAATAAGGCAATTGACTCATCTCTGCTGTTTGGTGGAGTTGCAGAAACAAAGGTAAGACGGTTACCATTATTGGCATAATGACAAATGTAAAAGCTAGGATACTTGACGAAGCTTGAAGCTTTACTGCTTCAAGAACTGGAGCTCACAGTAATGGTGGAACTGAGAGGAGCTGCAGATTTTACCACCATCTTCAGTATGACCCAGGGGAGACATTGGAACCAGCAATGTTGCCAGACACTCAGAAGCTTCATTTAATCCAAAAGGCAGCAGTCCAGTTACTCTTGTCCTCATGAGCCTATTACATGTATGCTCTGGGCTCTGCAGAAGCTTCCTATGAGCTTCTGGCTACAATTCAAAATACTGGTTGTTAGCTATAAAGTCTTTTGTTTCTTGGCAGCAAGCCATTTTGAAAAGCACCTCCTCCTAAAGATATGACCCACCTGGAAGAACCTGCTGATCCTGATTGATAACACAATGTCTAGGATTATTTGATTTATTTTATGCTCATGGTTTAATGGTTTATAATGTTTATTTGAGTCTTGCTGTGGATGTTTCAATTCTGAGTGCCTTGTGTTTATTTGCTCTTAGTTATTGTAAACTGCCAAGCCTCTGATTAGTTGCAGTGGGCATAAATGAGACAAATAAAATGTAAAATGCATGGATGGATAAGACAGATAATGGTTTAAGTATTTTCCTTCACAAGGCGTAAAATAATTTTTGGTTCAACTAAATTTTAAACTAAGTTGGTCAGGTAAACAAGGAAAACTCAGCATTTTTTTTTATTAACCAGAGTAATTTAATATCTCCACCATATCCTTGATGCAAATACTGTATTGTCTATTCCCGTGGTGGTGAACCTATGGCACGTGTGCCACAGGTGGCACACAGAGCCCTCTCTGTGGGCACGCATGCCGTCGTCACAGTCCTAAGCCTTCAGTCCTGTCCATGAGCAACCTTCATCAAAATCTCCCTGGGCAAGTGGCTTTTTAAGCTGGGTTTTATAAAACCTTTTTGCTTTAGGCCTCTGCCACCATGTGCAAAAAAAAAAAAAAAAAAGTTCAATCAATCAATTTTAACTTCTTGCGGGAAAAAAAAATCTCACAAAGTTGGAATTGATTGATTGAACTTTATTTTTAGTCCCACACAGTGGTGGAGGAAGTCACGCGTTGGAGCTAGAAAGAAGGTGCCGCGTTTTGGACAAAGAGGACCACTGGTTTGAAAGAGAGATCACAGAGGCTATCTATGTCAAAACTGAACAGCCCTCTCTCAACAGAGGAGAAGGGATACAACACAGTCCTTTCGGCAGTCTACAACACAATCCTCTCAGCAGTTCCAAGAAGGCTCCACACCCATTTGCACTACTGAGGTGACCCTGATGGCACAGATGAACCTCCAGGTGGCCTCAATGATTCTATAAAAGAATTCAAATGACCAGCTGTCTGCAAGGGGTGTAAATCCTTCCATTCCCTACCATCGGGTCAGAGCTGAAGAAGCTTCTTGGATGAGAAGCAAAAGGTCTTCAAAGAGAAAAAAGAAAGTCCAGTTGCCTCATGAAAAATTACCTTTGGGACTAGAGTCTAGGAAATCTTAATAAAAACAGGCACATTCATAAGAGGCACTGAATAATTCCTGAGGAAGCTTCCTCCATGAAACACCTGAGCAGTGTTGGTATCCATCCATTTCTGACCTTCTCTAGGTAGATAGATGTCCCTCTGGAATTGTCCTTGTTCTGTTACTGGAGCAACAATAACCTGAATTTAACAAAGATAATCTCATTAATAGTATCTGAGACACAAAATGTGTATAAATACATTTGGTCTTAACACAGAAGATAGGAACCTCACTTGAAACATGTCCACAATTATTTGATCAGAACAGCTGTAGGCACATCACAAAGTTGCCCAGTGACACTTTAAAACAGTAAGAGACATTTATATCCTGCACCTGTAATTCCAATTTTTAATACATAATAAAAATGTAAGGCTTATAATTGTAATTTAGTTGTTTTTATTATGTGATGATATATTTTGACTATATAATATGGGAATTTCTCTTTTATATAAAGTATATAAAGTTTCAAAGAAAAAAATCCAGAGGTAGATGAAAAACCTGCTCTGCTTATTTTTTAATAAGTAACAACCAGATGATTTAAAGAATTAGAGCAAAAATATTTATTTAAAGGTTTCCCGTGAGGCACTGATTTTTAAATCAACCCTGCAAATTTAAGTAGGTATCATTATACACCACAGCACTTCAGAAGCTTATCAAATACAAAATGATAAAGAAGATACAGGATCTAGGCTGCAAAAAGTCAATAGATATTGTAATGCTATGATAAAGATTTTCTTAATAGGAATAAAGACAACACTGGAGATCCTGCCCTGTAGCGGTATTACAGCAAAAGATATTAAAGATCAAAGTCTTGTTGCCTTGATACAGCAGCAATTAATTTTTTTAGATGAGTCATAATCAGCAAATCAAAATGCTTCAACATTTAATTAGATATTGGCTGTATTTGAACTTTAACTAAAAAAAGCCATTAAAGCATTAATTATTCTCTCATCTCTTCCCAGATGTCTGTTAATGCTAATTAATGATATCACATAGCACACAATTATCTTAATCATGTAGGCAAACAATATTTGAAATAGTTGGGATTATTGTGGACCAGACTATCTCATAAAAATATATATTGTAAACAAGAGAGCTGTGCAATGCTTTGGCTTTGATTCAGAAAGGCACTTTAAGTAATGTGTACATAACATTGGCTTGCAATTTCTTAAAGCTGTTTTGATTTTCCAGGTGTCATGAGGAAATTGCAGACGGCAGCCATGCAGATCAGTGAAATGACATGGCTGCTTTAAAGACCAGCAGACAAAGTGCTATGCTCACACCCCAAGACAATTTTTGGAATCAAATCTGAATAGCCTTCAACACTATTTAGATCAAAATGGGGCAACCACATCATTCACTTCTCTTGTGCTGATCCCTAACCTGCCATATAGGGATGCTATTAAAGGGTTATATCCTTCTTTACTGTGTGCAAGGCAAATTAAGGAATGGGATGGGTGGAGTCTATCATCTTAGTTTTGCTCACTTTCTATCAAATGTCACTAGTTCATGAGAAAGCATCCACCAATCACCCTCTTAATTGGGAGGGAAATGGAATACGAAGAAACAGTTTTGATAGACTGACAGATCTGATCATTTCTCCAGGCAAGCTGGCTGAGGAATTCTGGGAGTTGAAGTCCACAAGTCATAAAAGGGCCAAGTTTAAAGACCCCTGCCCTAAGATGCTGTACGTGGAGCTATTTTTATCTGAAAGCTGCAGTTGGTGCTGTTGAGTCCTTGGCGAAAAGCAGACACGAGAAGCAGTTGTAGTTCTCAGGTTTTCATTTATTCTGTGTTCAGCTTACAGGTGAAGGCTTCAGCAACGCCCAAAAGCTCCCAGCCTCTTATATAGGCAATTCCCGGGTCAATGTGTTACTTTTCCCGCGCCAGCACCCGCGCATGCGCACAGGCGCTGGCGACAGCCTGTCTGGTCCCGGGCAGCTTGCACCTGCCCGGGACTGCCTGCAAATGCCCCGAGCCCGTTTGCAAGGCTCGGGACATAACACCCCTTTCCCCCGGGCTAAGACTACTACCAACATACAATTATTTTTTTGATGCAATGTTCTACTCCCCAGTGCTCCTACTGTTTACTGGCTTTTGTTTGGCCAGCAATGTTATGTAATCCTCTAAGTATTTAGGAGGTTTCCTTGCTCTCTGTGACCTTCTCAGCTCTGGGCTTCTGACAGGTGTTCCCTGACTGCGGGGAGACGTGAGCCTGTTCTCCTTATCATGCCTTGGTGCCTTCCAAGGACTGTGCCCCGATGCCTGGCCTGCTCGCTCGCCCACCGGGCTCGTCAGGCCAGGGCTTCTGTCACTTTGTGATCTGGTTGACCTGCCTAGCTGTAGGCCCTCGGGCCCCTTGAAGTGATAGCCACTGCTGGGCGTCTCTGTAGAACCTCCTAGGTCCATCCAAGACCTGTCAGGAGGCTGTCCATTCCCTAAACCCCGTTCTGTATCCGGGCTCGTGTGGGTTTCTGTATCTTCCCAAAACTCAGTTACTCCCTGATTTGGGCTAGAGGTGTTGCGGTCGGGACTTGGTTCCTCGACCACCTCCCTGTATGTTTGACCCCCTGTAGGACTTGGGGTAAGGTCAGGCCAACTCTGGGGATTATGTGCCAGCTCTCTTGCGGGGTATGATTTATTGGGATGCTCCCGGGTATCCTCCCTGACTGGAGTACTGTGCTGTGCAGGTGAATAGTGATTGTACCCCCGGGGTGACTCCCTGGCTGGAGTAGGCGTGAATGCCTGGTAGTTGGATAGGCTCTTAGAATTCCTGTTTGGGGCACTCGCAGAATCTTGGAATGGGCCGTTTGTGGCTCCATCATTGGAGGTGGGCAGCAGCTCGTGCCCCTCCCTTTGCTCTAAAGGGTCCCCCTCCCCCCCTGGAAAAGACCCAGGAGTCTCATCTGAAAGATCCCGCCTAGGGCGGAGTTGGTCGATGTGCCGACGCAGGACACGACCGTTGTCCAGGGCTACCTCGTAGGATAGAGGACCTGTGACCCTGGAAATAGAAGCGGGGACCCATGTATGACCAGGCCCGTAATTGCGAGTCCAAACCGGGGCACCCACAAGTAGTTGTCTAGGTGCCCTAGGATGTGAGGTAGATGAAGGCAGTCTGTCCGGATGCAACCGGTCAAGCTTCGTAGTAAGTTTGCGCCCCCAGCGAAGTTCAGCTGGGCTTCTCCCTGTAGAAGTGGACGGTGTGGTGCGGTAAGAAAGGAGAAAGTCAGCCAACCTGTGATGCCAGTCCCCATAGGTGAGTCTTTTCAAGGCGTCCTTTGTGATGCGGACCATGCGTTCAGCCATACCGTTGGTGGACGGGTGGAAGGGTGCAGACGTGGCATGACGAATCATGTTAGCCTGTAAGAAAGCTTGGAATTCGGAGGAAGTAAATTGAGGGCCGTTGTCAGACACGATGACATCTGGGAGCCCGTGTGCAGCAAAAATCCCCCTCAGTACCTGAATAGTCTTTGCAGTGGTGGTGGATGAGACAGGTACAACCTCAAGCCATTTTGAATGACTGTCAACGAGGACCAAGAAGAACTGGCCCTGAAAGGGCCCAGCATAGTCAATGTGCACCCTAGACCATGGGGACTGTGTATCCTCCCATCTATGCACAGGAGCTTGGGGCATCTCTGGGCGAGAGCGCTGGCACAGGTGGCATGCATGCACCTTAGCCTCAATGTCCTTATCTAAACCAGGCCACCACAAGTGGCTGCGCGCAAGGGCCTTCATGCGAACAATGCCAGGATGACCCTCGTGGAGGGACTCTAAGATCCTAGTCCTCATTGAGGTGGGAATGACAACTCTGTTTCCCCAAAGCAGACAACCCTGAGAAGTGGACAACTCGTTCCTTTTGGACCAGAAACTCTGAAACTCAGGACTAGGGCAGTGCTCAGGCCATCCAGACAAAACCCAAGAAAGGACACGTGAAAGTGTGTGATCTGTGCCTGTTTCAGCGGCGACATCCCTGGCATTCAGAGGGGACTCGGGCAAGGCTTGGATGGATAGAATGTTGACAGCTGGCGCAGGGTCAGCTTCTACTACTGGCAGGGGCAATCTACTGAGGCCATCAGCATGGCCCATTTCTTTCCCAGGCTTGTGGAGTAAGGAAAAATCATATGCAGACAGAAAAATAGACCACCTAAGCATTCTAGGGGAAATGATTTGGGGAGTTTGTTTACGTGTGGTAAACAGTCCCAGCAGAGGCTTATGGTCAGTGAAGACCGTGAAATGCCTGCCATACAAGAAATCATGGAATTTTTTAATTCCAGCAACAACAGCCAGAGCCTCCCTGTCTATCTGAGCGTAGTTGCGCTCAGCAGAAGACAGTGTTCTGGAGTAATATGCAACAGGAACCTGAGTTCCATCAGACCTGAGGTGGCTCAGGACGGCTCCTACCCCGTAAGGGGAAGCATCACAAGCGATGCACACAGGAAGGGACTCATTGAAGTGTGCAAGTACACTGTTAGAAGTGAGTAAGGCCTTGACCTCATTGAAACTAGCCTCATGTGTTTGTGACCACTGCCACACTGCTTGTTTGTCTAATAGCCTGTGAAGAGGCTCAGCTACACTAGCTTTATGTGGAAGAAAGGAATTGTAGAAATTCAGGAGGCCCAGAAAGGCCTGAAGTTCGGCCTTAGACTTTGGCCTAGGTGCTTCTAAAATGGCAGTTAGTTTGGATTCAGCAGGGTGAATCCCAGCAGCATCAATTTTGAACCCCAGAAATTCAGTAGAAGGCACCCCAATTTTGCATTTGTCTTTTTTGAGCTTGAGGCCTGTTTTCCTGAACCTTAACAGAACAGCCCTTAGCCTTTCAGCTAGAATGTGTGTGGAGTCTCCTGCAATTAAGACATCATCAAAGTAGGGGCAAACCCCCGGTATGCCCCGCAGTGTGTTTTCCATTACGCTTTGGAAAATCCCAGGAGCGACATTCACTCCAAACTGCAGCCTTTTTACCTTAAAGGCTCCCCTGTGGGTCACAATAGTCTGAGCTATAGCAGCATCATCATCAACAGGCAGCTGTTGATACGCTTGAGCTAGGTCAAGCTTTGCAAAAACGCGCCCCCCCTTGAGGGAGGCCAGAATATGACTGACCACAGGAACAGGATAGGCATGTTGCTGCAATGCCTTATTAAGA